TAATAGAACATGTGAATAAGAATCTATGAAAATGATTTTCTTATTTCTCGTAAAGAACTGTAAAGGATTTACATCTGTTATATACAACTAAACCGTCTCACTATACCAGCTAATCTAATGTAGCTATTGAATCGGAATCTATACAATAAACCAGAATCTATACATTAATAGAGAGAGTGTGAAACAAGGTTGATGAATCCGCTCCTCTCTTTCTCACTGAATTAAGGAGAGAAACACAAACAAATCAGTCCAAAATAATCAAGAAAATTCAGATCTAGAAATTCTTACGCCACAAAAATCTTATTAAAGTAAACGAAAAACGGAAAACAATCGAATCGGAAAGCGAACCTCATCTCAGTAAGGCCATCGGTGGCGGATTTGAGTTGAGGAACAAGAGAGAGAAGAGAATCACAATGAACAAGAGAGAGAACACATCTGTTTTTTTGGTCCACTCACATTGCGATACGTGATCTTTTGATCCGTCTCAGTAATCTCTATGTGTAGAAACGTCTCAACCAAAATTAAGCCCAAAAATCAGTTTTTTATTATCCAGCCCATGATACTCTCAAAAACTCATGGATAATGATGCTCTAATCTATACTTATAAATGAGAAGTCGCAGATCCTAGGTGGCGTCTCGAGAGCGAGTTTAAGACTTGGTCTGCCGATAATACCTTTAATGAATTCTATAATTACAATCGTATGCCATTGAAATTTTTTAATTAAAATAATATTACTTCGTTGAATGATAATTAATGGGTTTTAGATTGGTATTTTGATCGGCCCATAAATAATTCTTTATTGGCAAAATCCTAGATGTATAAAAAGTTATATATATCGATCTCTTTCCCATAATTTTGTTAGTCTCTCTTTTTCTAGGTTTAATATCAATTGTTTTTCTTTCGTTTTTGTTAGATTTTTGCTTTCATATGTTTCTAATCTAATGAGGTTTAACAAGTTTTGATGATTTGTGAATGATATATTATTATGTTCTAATGTTTTTGATGGTTTTTTTCAAAGACCAATGTCCACATATAAAGAGATCATGAGGGTTTTTGCTCATGCCTCTCTCTGTATATAGCCTTTGAAACGGAGCCAGTAAAAGAGTTACAACACGATGTTTGGCTCTTCTGATTCTCTCTCTCATCTTTATACTTACAGGTAGGTTAATATCGAGCTTTGTGAAGACATTGTCCCTTAAACCGTCGAGAATTTTTAACCTCTCTTGACCATCGTGAAGAGTTTATGTCCCAATACCGGCGTCTATCTCCATTATTACAAGGTCTCTCTCCTTTCTTTATCTACATGTAAATACTCTTATATGTTTTTATTTCCTTCTATGAACAGGGGAATGGATATATTTGGTTTCCAATTCTTAATGTTTTGTGACATGCAAAGTTAAGAAAATGCATATCCATGTACTTTTAGTTTTTTTCAAATTTTGTATTGCTCATTATGCTTACTATGGATAAATAATGAGCTATGTGCACTAGAACTATGTGACTCTTCCTTTTCCACAGTAAATATCGAAACCTCTATTTTCAAGGTTTATAATTCCTCATTATCATCTAAATGTTTGTTTTTATTTTTAATGTTTTTATCTCAAAGAATAAGAAGAAGAGGATTATGTTTTCTGAGTAAATGGTTTGAATTTTGATATATATTGGCGTATGATTTATTATACTTTTGAATTTTTGCGTAGATACTTTGTTTTTATTTATACTTGAACTAGACATACCCTTTTGCTTACTACTCATTGCATTGTTTGCGTTTCGTATGGTTATCGAGGTATGAGTTTCATCGTTTTGATTTCTATCAAATTCTAATTGTCATGTTTTGCTATTAAATTGATTCATTCTTTTAATAGATGTATGAGAACC